TTTTCTTCCTCGTTTAGCTCTGGGTTCAGTCTCAGAGAGGATAAACAAAACAGGTGGTATTGACTTGATTTTAACTGAAGAGAAAATGGAAATGTATGCAGCACTTTTGTGCTTTTCTTTCCCCCGTTATATAAAAGCAGTGTGTTTGTTCCTGTGGCTGACGGTCGTATTAAACATCATTTGAGTCAATGCAAGTTTGCAAGTAATACCTGTGAGCTGAAAGCTCTAATCACTCTACAGCTCTGGCTGCTCTCAGCTCCTGATATGGTTGCCATCAAACACAGAAGCCAAACTTACCTGCTGCACAAACCTTCTGTTTTGAAGAGGCAGCCAATCAGAAGAAAGTTGGATTAAATGGAGCGGAGCCAAAACGCCTTGTTTCAGACAGAACTGACTCATTAAAGGCGATGTTAATGAAGATGTTAAATAATGAATAAATACATTTAAGAAGTGGAAATGAAGAATAACAGCTTGTTTACTCTCAGCTGTGTGCCATTAACACGAGTTAACCAACCAGATTTTTGGCGTAACCCAACAATAAGTGCCACAAACCGTCTCTCCTACATTCCAAACCAATGTTGCCTCAGGGCAACATCGAGTCTCTTCAGAGCTGCCTCTGTGAACACGTCAGCTCGGCGCCTTCACCTGGTCTTCATCTGGTTTCTGAGTGCCTTTTAGCTTTGAACCTGAAATCATGCACCTGGTTTCAGGTTTTCTATAAAAATAGTTTGCGTTTTTCTCAGCGTGCTCTTTGTGTGGTTCCTTTCTCAGATGTTCTCAGACACAGAAGTAGAATCAGTTCAGTTTAACAGAATCAAAATAGCTGTGGAGATGAGATTGACCTGGTTCAAGTTGCCTCTCAGATGAAGCTTGTACACAAACAGCTGATCTGCAGTCAGGTTTCCTGAGTGTGTGTGTGGATGGTAATAAAAGTGTGTTTTATTACCTCCAGTTCACTTTAGTTTCAGTTTTTGTTAATTGTCCTTATGGATAAAAGCCAAATGTCACTCTGACCTCTTTAAAAATATTTAAATGTTTCTGCATGTTTCCCGTATATCTGTC